ACAATTGTGTAAGTCAATGCAAAGTCTTCTATTTGTAACTACAAGAGCAAAGCTGTTAAATTTTCATTGAACCTTCATGAAGTATAAGCTCGTGAGCGTTGTGAACTATGAAGAGAAACTGCATCTCGCAGTCTCCCCACGACTCCGCCAATCACCTGTTGCATGGCCATGAAGAAAGTCAATAAGAGCCATGACAGGATAAAAAAACGACGGTGTGCCCAAAAATTTCGAGAAGAATAGTTTTATTGTATTATAGATTTGGCAACCTTCCAAGACAGATTCGGCCTCTGATAAGAAGGCTCAAGCCGTTTAGTGCTCTGAAAACTCATTCACAAATTATCTGGTTTCGCGAGAATCATGACGGACTTTTGTGGACTTTGCGGACCCTGCGACTGCGTTGGACCGAGGAGAAGAAGGCTCGAATACCCGCGCAGCTAAAAATTGCTTGGAAACATCAAAGAAGTGAAAACGAGACCATTTCTCGACTCCGTAGTTTTTGAAAGCAGTCACATTAACTGTTAAAAATATTAAATTTCCCAGTTTTTCACGACAGTTTGTGATGCTCAATACACCAATTTGGAAGGGAACTATGGTCATTTGAAGGTTGAATACACCCACGTGCGCGAAAACGCTCAAATGGGCGATTTTCAGGAAAAGAATCTTTCGGAAGCGATGGCGCAGTTGAAGGAAATATCTCTTTTATTTTCGAATCTTTCTACCGCACCGCATAGACATTAGGGAGGGAAGCTGCGAGGTAAACCTGGCAGTATATGCAGGTCTCGCAGAGCTCAAATACACCTAGATTGATTCAAAATATCACAAAATGAAATGATTAAGAAAGCTGTGCTGGCTGGGGCAATAAAATGTCACGAAGGCATGCCCCAGGATCACATTGGGTGGCTCTTGCACACGAATGCGAATGTATTGGTGCGAAGTGGGCCGGCAGTGAAAGAAAAAGGAAAAGAATCCGTCGAAAACGCTCAGGTTAAGGGCTCACTCACCTTCCTAATCGGCTGTGCTAAGGGAATGAGAGACTAAGCGCGGAGAGGAGAGTATGAGGCGAGAGAGCGCTACAGATGAGAGAGACAACAGCCTGATAAGAGAAAAAAATCTGCAGCTTCAGCAGCTTACTTTGCAAGGCCCAAGCGCTCTTGTCGGTTGGTTTCCGTGCACGGGAACGCCACATTTGTGATTGCCCTCAAGGGTCTATACTACAGACCGAAGGGAAGCGTTCACACGACTTCTGCCTGAGGTTGTGCCTTTAAGGAGGCTACGGTAGCTGTGCACTCCTTGCGCGACGCAGCCACCAGCAACCAACCATCCAAGCTAAGTAAGCAGTAACACAAACCACTTTTATCTCTTAGGCACCATTATCTATAAGATTTCGGGGTAAGCTCTTGGGGTAACTATTTATGTTGTACAAGAAATCGCTGAAGTGTAAGATAAAAAAAAGTCTCACATTATGCTCCTATTTCTGCATTCGAGGTTTCGTGAGCAAAATGGTTTCGTGAACATAGATTATAACGGATAGTCATTGGAGTGATAAGGTGGCCAACCTGCGGACACATTTAATTATACCCTAGCTACGTGCCAAAGAGCAGCTAGGGAGTAATTAATTCCGTTTATATACTAGTCATATTTAGTCGACCAGTGCAAAACCTCACGCAAATAAGAAGACAAGGTCGGTCACAGTTTTGAGGGAAACTAAGTTCGGAAGGAGAAGTGGCACTAAAAGTTGGCGCCACTTCGCAGTAACCGCTCGTGGAGCTTGGTTGGAGCTACTTCAACCAAGTGAAGTGTGCTCTGAACAGGCCTTGCTCAATTCGGAAAATTGATAAATCGGCTAGCAGTAAGTTTTAGAGTAGAATTTGTAGTAATTGTAGGGGAGGGGTATCTGAGGTGTCGTAGCGTACCTGAACTGGTGGATGCCCGTGCAGAGTGAGCAAAGTTTCTCCTGAGAGTGTTTATTACAAAGCCTCACAATTCGGTTCAGAGAACTGGGAAAAAGTGGATAGGGGATGGCGAAGAAAGGGAGGTTAAGTACTTTCGGTGGATAGACATGTATCATAGTGGGCGGAGTGTACCACAAAACATTATAATTCAGAGCTGAGACAGCCCGAAGAGGGGAAAAAGTGCATAGATTATCACAAGAATGCTGAATTGTGGGCAAAACTTACAACTGTTTAACTGGTAGCACAACAAAGCAAGAGGTGCGGGTACGAATCCCGGCTGGGGCGAAAGTTTTGCCCACAACTCAGCATTCTTGTGATAACTTTCGCAACGCGAACTGCGGCGTAAAACAGCAGTTATCCAAAAAAACAAGTCAAAGTACATAGAGTTTGGTAACGGAAGGTGATTCGCCGACCGTGGGTGAGATATGCACTAAGGTGGGCGGAGCTAAACTTCAAAATGCAAAATAGTTCAAAAGCGCTCCCGAAGACAGGGATATGAGGCTGACGAGGGACAATTCACGTGTGGGGGAGGGCCAAAACTAGAGTTTTGATCCTTTTGATATCCTTAAATTCCCGATTTGATGCACGTGTTAGCATGCGGAGAGCCAAACTGGTGAATATTTGTGTCAAGGGCAAGTAGAGTAACTACTCATAAAACTTCTTACATGGAGCATGGAGCAAACGTAAAAGAATAAAGGATAAAGCATTTGCCGTTGATCAATCCCTTTTTGGGATGCGGCACGCATTCTACTTCCATTTGTACATTCGTAGTGGCGTTTGAATGCGATGTGGCCTATACAATGACTTGCGGGGCCAGCCGATGTACAAGTCAGTGTTTTTATCCTCCCAGACAAGTCTGGTACCAATTAACCGACCCCGGAGGGATGGAAGGCTTGGTTGGCCCGGGCGACTCACGACCCAGGATTTGATCCCCGGACCGCTCGCGTGGTAAGCGCGCCACTTGTCACTACACCACTTCCGCCCAGGATCTAACAAATTCTGGGAAAAAGTAGAAGCGCAAACTCTAGGATAAAATGTTCTGACGACCTTGTGCTTGCATACCCGAAACACTCCCAACTGCTACATTGTTCCACGTTCGCTCCTTCCTCGCTAGGCTTATAATGGGTGCTTTGCAAGCAAGAAGTGCTCAACCATGAAGAATAGGAAGAGAAAAAAAAAGAGTTCCAAAACGTCATTGCAAAAAGGTCAGGAATATGAAAGAAGTCTAGCTCAACTGGATATGAATTCATCTGGGTGACACTTTCATTGGCGAATGACCGGACAACCTGATGACCTTCCTTTGTGAGCATGGTACTAATTACTATCAGGTGGAAAACAGATTTCAATACATGCACTTTCCCTATTCATCCCTGAGGTGCCATAGTGTGGTTCCCTCTCAACAGCGATAAACTTGCTAACGCTTTTCACGACTGAAAGACGATATTTGAGCTGCAGAGAGCTATCTAGACAAGCTTTCGAAGACAAATTTATAGACAAATTTAGTCAATTTATTAGGGCCCTGTTCATAAGTTGACCAGGAAACACTTAGCCATTCACGAACGTCCAGCGAGAAGAAGTCAATTTGGGCTAGAGTCTTCCGACGATCGCTCCACGAAACAATGGCAATTTGCGTTCAACAAAAGCCGTGAATCATGCCCGAGCCATATGGAAGATCTACCATTTTCGAAGGTTGAAAAGAGAACGTGGAGATCACTCGCTGGGCAACTCATACAAAATCAATTTAGGAAAATTTACCCTTTCTCAACTTCGCCCTCTTAGTACTAAACAAATAACCCTTAACAGCCCCTTTAAAAAACTTGCGACTGCATAGCGTAAATAACTTAGTGACCACCCCTCCCCCTCTATCGTTTCAACTTCAAAATTCCAGCCGAGAAAGAGAATAGAGATCAGTTTGGAGCACGTAGTGAGTAGAAATAAAAACCTTTCAAGGTTTTCAGGAAATTCCCCATAAGTTCAAGTGCAAATATCATGCATTCGGATAAGGTCAATGTTTGAACTTCGCAAAATGTGTAACATGAAAGAACCGTTTTGTCTTCAGTTATTCGAATTGCTTCTAATGAGTGATTATGAAAAGAACACAAGTATCGCATGCCCATTGAAACACAGGCAAAACCTCCTGTTTTTGCTGTTTCTGGAGATCACAGTTATTGCTTAGGTTCAGGGAAAAGAAAACTGATTTTAACTCCGCAGCTCTTCAGAACCCAAGAAGCGCTACAAGTGCTGAGTACGGAGTATGACTTATCAAGAGCAAAAAAAATTATAAATTGATATGTAGTATTTCTTAACTCATGAATATGGCATATACAAATTATTTTAGATGTTATCTTATAAGAAATTCTGAGAACTTCCAAAAAATGCAGCGCGGCTCGTGAACAGATGGCGAGTTAATAGGCAAGGTGAGATTATGAAAATTTGAAAGAAACTCATCCAAAAAGTTTCTTCGGTGAAAATGTAGTTTAGGGGGGGGTGACCCTAACTAATCGAAGTGGAGCTGCGGAAAGACACTCATATCTAATCAAAGTAGAGTTGCGGGAAGGCACTTATATCTTATCATATCTTTCACTGAGACCGTGGCCTACGACTAGTACGCTTACCCTTGTCATATTATTCTATGGCTAAAATGGCTGCTACCTTGCTGGCTCTTCACTTTCACCACCTTCTTGCGACTGCCATGCAAGCCCTCGAAGAAAGGGCCTTTCAGGTATCCGATTTTGTATGGAATCTCGGGTTGGTATCCCTATCTAATCATACACTCACGATCAGAGACTGTGCTCTGATTGTTGATTAAAGGCAAAGGTCGGGCTCAGGCACGCTAGAGAAGTAATTCCCGTGCCTGGAGGTTGTATGTGGGTAGCTGCACACATTGCAGC